CCTCCGCCTACCTACTACTCCTGCTACTGCTGCTGCTACTACTACTACTACTACTACGACGACGACGACTACTACTACTACTACGTCGACTACTACTACTACTACTACTACTACTACTGCTTCTGCTTCTGCTTCTGCTTCTGCTTCTACTTCTACTTCTACTTCTACTTCTACTTCTACTTCTACTTCTACTTCTACTTCTTCTTCTTCTACTACGACGACGACTACGACGACGACTACTACTACTAGAGCAAGGGCCCAGCAGATACACATCGGCAGTTCCAGTAGCCTGAAAAGGCACCCATCCAACTGCAGCAATGTGGGTCTACAACGCTGGTTCCACCGAGGGGCCCAGCAATCTATGGAGCCAGATGGACACGGCCTACAACGACGACCACGATAAAGGAGCACGACCGGACTGGCTGGAGACCAAGGTCCAGCAGCTTACACAACTGGTGCTGCGACAGGAGCAAACCATTGCATCCCTCAGGCAGGACAAGGTGATGTATCCCTTCGTGGAGAGTGGGGACAAGGGAATGGTTCCGGTATTCTGTCAATCGGAGGAGAAATGGAGGCAGATGAAAGAGGAACCGCCGGGAAAACTGAACTTCTCGTTGAAGCTGACGATCTTCAAGCAACTCCGTATCTCCCTTCACGAACGCTTGACGGAGACCCACAAGACCCCGGCAGCCATGGAACATGCAAAGTCCTTGGGGTGGGTGGATGGAGACAGAATTGGAAAGTGCTGAAACTGGAAGTGGAGCCCAATCTTCGACCGGTCCCTACCACGGACCTTCTCGGCCAGATTGTCCAAGTGAACGAAGCGGTTACTGAGGAAACACTCCTACGCTTCAAGAGCACCCGTCGCCTCTCCACAGAGGTGACCACACAGTTCCAAGTGGCCCTCCGCCCAGAGGGAGCACCGATCTGGAGCACACTCCAAACATGGATTGGGCAGTCAGGGCTGCAGACTGCGGCGAGACCGACCGCGGTGCAAAGCTGTGCTCAAACTGTCATTGTCCATCCACCCTATGCTAAATGCATTCTACAGCACTTGCCATTGTTTGGAGCGTCCTCCAGGTTCGGTTGCGTGGACCGGCCAATCCACCTGTGGCACCGGTACTCAGCCTCCTGTGCCAACATCCCTCCAAGTTCCTCGCTTTTCTACCTTGGCTGGTACTGCTCCGAGCTTGGCAAACGAGCATGAGCAACACGATGCAGCTGAGCTCGTAGCTTATTGCATGCCAAGGTTAGCAATACCGGGCATGGAGGGTGACTGGAACTGCAAACGGAGTGAGAATCTGGGACGAAGGATCGCTTCACATGCAGATCCCTATGACCTTCAACCCAGAGGAGCTTCTCCATCTACAGGTGGTGATCGACAGGTGGCATGCCCAAGCAGAGATCCATGCGCTCACGACGACCCCAGACTTCTTCTGTTTGCAGCTGCAAAGGTTTGAAAGCGAGGAAGGGCACTTTGCACATGACACGAGAGGCCTCTTATGGGATGCCAAGCTGCACTACATGTGCCAGTGTTCCTTAACTCCACCACCTTGCAGAGTCAAGCGGTTCCTTTCCGGTCGCAGCGATCCAACTGAACTATGGAGATAGACCCGATAAGGGGCATTATCGGGCGCTCTTGTGCCGACAAAATGCTTTCGGGCGAGATCGGCAATGGATCACAGATGACAGCAAACTGCCTGCACCTGTCAACCGACAGCATGATGTTGCGGCATATTTGGTCTGGCTCCGCCAGGCCGACTATGATCAGTGAGAAACAGAGAACACGCAGAGTAGACTTAAGTAGAGAGGATGGAGCTGGCTGTTGCCCTCCAGATCCCAATGAGGATCCAGCTGTCACAAATCGTGACAGTTTCTTGCTCGCTAGGCGAAAGCTGGACATCTTCGATGCGTGGGGAATGAATCTCTTCATACCACTGCTACTGCTACTGCTCCTGTGCCTACTGGTGCCGCTACTGCTTCTGTTGCTGCTCCTGCCCCTGCTCCTGCTCCTGCTACGGCTCCTGCTGCTACTCCAGGACGCTACTACTTACTACCAACCCGCCCCTACAGTTAAAGGTGCCCCCCTAAAAAAACAGTTTCAACGCGACTCATTTTTCCGTACTGTTAAAACGGTCTCCTTACCTTGCAGTCCTTGCCACACATAGTGTATGTATATATGTACAGTTCACTCTCTCGCCGTCTCTCTGTCTGTCTCGCTCTCTCTGTCCGTCTTTCTCAGTCTCAGACAGATTCCTTTTCGATCAGCCCCATCATGCCTGCCGATGTTTCCTTTGAATGTAGTTGTGTGTCGACGCAAGAGTCGACGGATAGCATCAGCATCCGAAAGTGTATGATTTTCAGAGCGAGTGTGCCGAAGGTGTTTGATTAGTGTTTTTTCGCAAACATTTTGCATCTCACATACTCTATCAGGACTGCAGGAACTGCAGGAGGAAGGGGCTGCCAGAGCCACAGGAATGTAGGGCAGCAGGGGGACTGCAGGCTACACCAACCACGCGAATGCTAAATATTTTTCGCTGGACGGTAGTGGTAGTAGTAGCCGTACTAGCCGTAGTAGCATCAGCAGCAGCAGCAGCAGCAGCAGTAGTAGGCTTTTAGACGGGTTTCGAGCGGGGCTAAGCTTCATACTCCTGCATTTTCACTGGTGTGTTCTTCTTGGGACGGAGGCACGGTTCCACAGTTAGGCCGTTTTCGTTCCTGAGGGCTCGAATCGCAAGTCAATTCGACCGTCGAGTTGCCGTTGGCAAATCAGCTTTGAGGTTTTGTCTGACGAGGTGCATATCCCTTCGACTTGTGGTGTTCTGTTCTCCAGGAACAGGTGTAGCAGCAACGGTAATTGTGGCCGTAGCAGCATGAAGTCGCCGAGGCCCCTGGCACGCACTGCTGCGCTGAGTGGGGGTGCAATCGACGGCTTCATCATGAGCAAGCGGGTTTGGTGTTATGTGTTTGCAGTCCTGGGCATAGCTTGAGATTTCGTGATGTTCGTCAGTCAACGATGTCTCGTTTTGCAAATCAAGTGTACATTGACGCAACGCAGATGCTACTAATCGGCACCAAGCCCGGAAGAGAGGGGTGAAATAACAGCCACGAAGATTCGAAGATGTCCTGTCGGGTTTGGGGGTGATGTGTAGTGGTGAATCGATGTGTTCTTCGGGAATCACGACCTAGTTGACCTAGCGGACCTAGCTTTCCATCGAGGTAAGTACGACAGTGTGAGCTTGAGATTCTGGCTGGAGTTTCTGGGCGTTTTCATGGGCGACTTCGTGCACATCGCACGCACCGCAGGACGAAGCTGGGAGAATTTGGGAGAGGGTCGTGGTAGTCGCAGCCACCCTGCGCATACCTTGTGCAAGGCCCGAGAAGCTCTATCATTACATCGTAGGGCTGCGTTGCCACGTCTCGGTTTGTCTCAAGGACTTCTTCCGGACAAGTTCGGGTTTTGAGCTACTCCCTTTGTTTTTCCGTGCGTTTGGGTTGGTGCCTTTGGGTTTCTGTCAAGCCGGAAGTGCAACGCCACAGAACAGCAGTTGCTACTTTCGTCCATGCAGAATGGCTTTGCGCGCCCAAGTTAATCGCGTTCGCTAACTTCTTCCTTTGTTACCGAGAGCGTGTGGCTACTGGTTTTGCGGCTTTCCTGCGAGGACCTGGCCTGCGGCTCAGAGCATGGCTGCAAAGACTGCCAACGCTTCTGTGGTGGGAGCTGATCTATGGGCTTCTGGGCAGCCTTTTCTGGATGGAAGTGCTGGTTATCTGAAGTTGAGCTTTGGGTCTGGTTGAGGTTGCGACTGGCGACCTGACTGTATGGTATACGTCGGTAGAAGGCATAAGGTATGGCATTCGGCGACATTCGTGAACCCCACATCCTCGAAGCCCCGAGGCTGCTTCTGGCTGCCACTGTTCTCTCGATGCATCCATCACTGGATCGCTGCTCCATTGCTTTTCGGCTCTGCGGCTGGCCTTTCAAGATCCCGGAGTACAGAAGATTCGGAACACAGATGTATAGTTATCCCATGGCTGCATGCGTGATTGGCAAGCTCATGCATACATTTCACTCCATGTTGATTCTCATGGGATTTTAGCAGCAGTGACGCCATCGTGATGATGAGCCCTTGCCCAGCCTATCCCTAGGCCCCAGGGATTGAGACTAACTCCGATGCCCGAGACAACCTTCTCTTGAGCTTATGATCCAGGCCAGTGGTCTGCGCTTCTGGCAGCTGCCTTGGCGGGGCTCTCCTTCTTCAGCTTCCTCCCCTTTCTAGGTGGGGGTGGCGGCTGTGGCTGCTTGCGGTTGCGCACGCTTTTCGTGTAAAGGAACCTTGAATTTGTTGTTCAGGTTTCAGACGCTGATGCTCAGACGAGTTGGTGTGGTTTCAGTCCTGCACCAGCTTTCCGGGCAGACTTTTGTGGCACTCACCTCGTGCAAGCCTGCGTCAGTCCGCAAGCGAAAGCTACCGACTTCTGTGAATCGATCTCAGCAAGGCTCCGAAACATCGGCACCAGCTATTATCGATGTTTCTTTTTCCCGTGAGTCTCCCTTTGTCAGACATCCTCTCGCACACACGAAGGCCGAAGTTGCAAAGCCTGGTAGAACTTTGACTGCGATTGACCTGCCGTCAGACGTACTTAGCGCATGAGGGTTCTGAGCGCATCCGAGCCGAAACGCTTACATCGACTCTGAAATTTACGCGCTGCACCCCTGCCTTCGTTTTCAGTCCCAAGAGCCCTGCTGCGGCAGGTTTCCTGCAGCGCTCGCCTCTCCTTCGGACGCTGCAGCAAGCAACACGCCCCTCGTTCAGGATCTTCGGGTTGTAGGATTTGGACGAACATGGGTAAGCAGACACAGATCTCACAGAGGTGACCAGCTAAAATTCTATTACTCTAGTTGTTACTTACAAGTACATTGTGCTCCTTTTGGTACCGCCAAAATGCACTTTATGGGTGTTATGGTATGCTTGCGCAGTCATTATGCAGAGACGGCTGGACTTGATATGCATGAAGGACGCGCACTCGGTCCCCAAATGTGAATCGCGGCCTGGAAAATCATCGCTTGGTGTGTTGGTCTGGCTTCACCCGCTTCGACTGCAGCTGCATTACTTAAAGACTTCCGCTATAGACTTGCTGGCATGCGCGGTCGCGCAACATCCGACGACCCAAGCTTTCGCCAAGCTTCTATAGCTGCCTGAAAGAGCCCCTCAACTTTCTCTCGAAGAATCTACGGTAGAACCCTCATCCGGCACTGTCCGAGTGTGAGAGCTTATATGTAATCTTAAACCTCAAGTTCAGCGCATCGCAGGCTTGAAGGACAATTGATGGAGTGCGGCCTTGTGGTAGGTTGTGCGGCAAGAACCGTTTTACATCCTGGAGGTAACACTGCATAACATGCATGGGGTCAGTTTTGAGGCTTTCAGGTGTGGCTCCTCCACCCAGCGACCGTTAATTCGGCCCCACTGAGGTTTCTACTACCAGTCGCCTCAGCCACCCGGAACTGTCTACATCAGCGATGGCGGAGTCTTGGACAACACTGGGGCACCTTGGACGCATAGCGGATGTGCTGTGCTGCGGAGGGCTCCAGGGTTTCAGGGACTGCGACTCTCTTGCAAAGGAATTTATATACTGACAGGCGTTCATGCTTCGAGGCCTCGAGGGCCGTTGCGGAGTTCATCGCCCGCGAGACCCCTTCGGTTTTCATAGCTGAGTATGTATACCCTGCAGGCTCTCAGGTGTGCATTTCGGGATTTATGGTTCAGAGTTTCAATCGATGGATCCTTATCAGCTTGGAGCTGTGAAGCCCTGGAAGTTCGTAATGCCTTTGCATGGTTTTACAATGGTTACGCTAGGGCACTTTCCTGAAAACCCGGCTCACGGGGCGGTTAGGAATTCCGATGCCCGACGTGGATCTCATGACGTGCTTCTGAGATTCTACAATCTGTGGTGGCGCGGATGTCAGTCTCAAAATGCCGGTTTCGACACCCCCAGCTACATGAATCCGAAAACCCTTGCTAACACGTTTTAATCCGAGGGTCGGATCCCAGCGTCTTCTTAAGAATAAACACAAAGCTCAAAATGTTTGCAATGCAGAGTCTACACATCACGTTTTGTCCTTGTCTGTCTTTATGCCCTTGCTTTGTTTGCTAGGCTTCGTTTTGATTTTGTTTTGTGTAAGGCCTCTCTGAGGCTAGAAATCATTCTTAAAGACGAACGGGCAAGGACCAACCCTTGTTGGTGGAGTTGCTGAGTTGTTCATAAAGAGGTTTGTAGATTGAGCCAGGAGCGTTCTTTCCATTCTACAGGCCGTGTAGGTTGGTAGGATGGCCAGCTCGCAGCGCCCTTGCCACGTCTTTCCTGGAAGCCACGCATGTTGGCTAGAAATGCCTAGGTGCGCACATTATTGCCTAGATCGGCCCACATAACCTTATTCAGTCCCACGACTTTTTTCATTAGAATTTCAACACTTGCTCTGCAAATCGTAGTTGAGGAGGACAGTGTTTTGCTGAACAACCCTCCCCCCTTCCCCCCACCACCGTAAAAAGAAGCTTGCATCATGATTACACTATGAGAGGGAGGCTCGTGCGGCACGCTCGGTGGTTCTGTGGGTCGCGCAGGCCGCATGTTGGGTTAAAGCCCGATTGTTTCTACGGTGCTGCGGAGACATTCTCCAGCGACGCGCGATTCGTAGTAAATGGCAGTACGTCGGATTTGTGTTTGCAAGGTCCTGGCTCTGCCACGCTATTCGGGAACTTAGTGGAAGGTCTCTAAATCTACATCCAGCCAGACGATCTGGGTGTGGTGCCCTTAAAAGCTGGAGGGCCACGCGTCCTTGCCTTGGATTCCAACTCCCACTGCCAGTACATAGCGGGAACAGTTCTGAGGGTGGTGCCTTCCGTCCTGCCTCCAGCTTCGTCGTGGTGGTGGTGGTGGTCGTCGTGGTCGTGGTTATGGCGGTCCTGGTTGCGGTCATGCTGGTCGTGGTCGTCACGGTTGTACTGGTCATCGTGTTCCACCAGGCTCGTTTTGGTGCGCTCTCGTGGTCCTCTCCAAACTCCGAGTCTGATACCAAGCAAATCCCATCTGCCCACGTTTTCGAAGCATCGCTGGAAGGTCCTCTCACTGATGCGGCGGCGGTGCCGGCGGATTCTGGCCGTCTATGCGGGCGAGGAGGCTTGGGCGCTGCTGGTTTCAGCATGTAGCGTGAGCAAACCATCGTAGACCCGATATGGAATTCAAGTCTATAGGGCCAGGTTCTTGGGAATTTCAGTTTCCATTTTCATACGGGGTCGTCCTGCTCAAATGCCAGGTTAAGAATGAATGAAAATTGGGATTCGCATGCCTCGTAGATGAAGGCGTCTTGACTTGAGACAATGATGATGCTCGTGCTCTGAGTTCGAAGCGATGTGGATGGAAATGCCTCGACGGCAAGGTTTGGTTGATTTATTCATTCACCTTTAAGCCCCCAGCCAAAAATTCCCGACTGGCATACTGCATTCTCACCCATCTAAGGCCAAAGGAAAAGATTCTCGTCTGCGTGACAGTGGTTGCACCGCACACTACGGGTCTAGGAGGGAACCGGCTGTTTCGGGTTGAGGGTTTCGGCGTCGGTCTGTTGCGAGTTTCAAGGTTTAAGCTTAGGGAATCGAGGAATCTGCTGTCGGGTTTACGTGGGTGTGCGCATCAGATTGTGCACTGTTGACAACCCGTGTTTTCGGAAGGGCGGAGCCCAGCAAGCATGCGCGAGTGTAAAGATGCTTTTTCATTTTCACCATTGATCAGGCTGGAGACAACATTGTGCAACCCGATAAACAAGACATTACAATAAGTCCTCAACACAAATTCGCAAATAGACCTACGAGAAGCGGCCAGGTGTTCAAGAGCCTCTACAGACTCTTATACAGCACAATGCACTTGATGCTGGACAGAGAGAAAATGCGAAGCAACGGCTACGGGAAATGGGCAAGCCAGGCACATCAGTTCTCTTAGGTTTAGGTGATTCAAAAACCATCCCGCTAATCCCCGACCTATTTTCCTTGTTCCTGAACCCTTTAAGCCCTCAGTGTACCGTCTGTGTGCACTGCAAATTAGGAAAGATCTGTCGGGAATCTGACACATGAAACTCGAGAGCTCGATGCATCTGAACATCAAGCTTTATCATGTGTTCAATATCGCTGTTGTGTAGCAGCATTCTTCAGAAGGTACGTTAAGTGCTTTGCAAAGCAGTATCCCAGCTAGCCGACATCGTTTTGGGGTTTTGATTGGGATCCTGTTCCTGCAAGCACTCCTCGCATCCCAGGAATTTATGATGTGGGTTTGGCCATTCTTGTCTTGGGGGTCTGCGTCTTCACAGGTTACGGCTGGAGCTTTAGGGTCTGGAAGGCCGTGAGCTGCTTTGGCTTTTCTGGCTGAGGTTCGGGTCAAGGGTTTGGTCGCATGAAATGATGTCTTCAGCAAAGGAGCTCAAATGCATCAAGAAGCTTCTGATGCACATGCACGAGGATTTCCAGTAGGCTGTGCGTCAGGGTTTGCTCGAAGACTTGGGAGGCCTTTGATTGGTGGTTGGACAAGGCTTCGAGGGTCTTAACAGTCTGCAACACGAACAGAGACAAGAGGAGACGAGTCGACATGAAGGTGAGGGGAAGATGTTCTTGCAGTATGTCACAACCGGTAGCACGGACAGCACCAACGAACTTCAATGTGCACGAACAGTTCCTCGAGAGGTTTCATAGTTTTTTTTTGACACTGGTGGCGCGGATACAGCCGGAAAAGTTGTGGATATGGGATGACCTGGATTTGAAATTTCAGGTGGCTACAGTGCACATAGCTTAAGCTCAGGTGTGTCAGGGATTTCGTGATCCTCGCGCCCATTCCAGATGCCGCATGCTCTCCCCACGGCTCCAGGACTATGTCAAGCCACCATGCCCTGTCCTCCTGGTTTGCATACTAACTAGTACGCAACATCAATGGCAGCAAAACCTTCAGGGTGACAGTTGCAGCTGTGGGAAGACTGTTGCACGACACGGCCAGCCTCAATACTCAGATCAACAGTTGAACCGGCAAGTTGTCGCAGCTTTCACTTAGTCAGTTTGCAATGGCGTCGCCATGATCGACGCCGGAAATCTGTCTCAGGCTGGGTGCAAACGATGCCTCACCGAGTGCATTGGAAAGGTCTGATCTTCGTAGTCGATCAAGGGCCATTGCCACGCTTTCATGTCGCATCATAGCACATGACAACTTGTAGCTGCACACAGCTGCATGCTGATTTCTTGGAATCGTTGTGCAGCGCAGGCCAATTCCATTTTGAGTCTTGGAGCATGTTCTATGCAGCCGGGTCGAGCCATCGCGGATTTCGATGGATCCAACTACGGCCGTGCCTTTGCTGGAGCGCCCTTGTGCTGTCATGCATACATATATAGTTACATACACACACGCACACATATGTAGATATTGATTTATTTATTTCTATACACATACATACTTACATACATATAAATATATATGCACATATACATATAAATATAGATAGATAGATAGATAGATAGTGTAGTTCTGTCGTGAGTTTGCGCATCGATGAACCTCGTTTAGCAGTGTTGCTGGTTGTGGTTGTTGTTGTTGTTCTTCTTCTTCTTCTTATTGTTCTTATTGTTATTGCTGCTGCTGCTGCTGCTGGTGTTGTTGTTGTTGCTGTTGCTTGTAGTAACTTTTTTAGACACATCCCAAACATGAATGGAGGCCGCGCCTGCCAGGAATTGAAGTGTTCAATGCAATTTCAATATTGATATCCTGGCCACCATCTTCATCGCTAGAATTATTTCCTTTGTTTTGACGGTTTGAAACAGGGTCGACTGATGGGGATTGACCCCAGGATTCCTGGAATCCCAAGGGGAGCCGGCAGAGGGAAAGAGACAGAAAGAGTGTGAGGGGGGAGGCAGGGAAGCACGGTGCATGTTTTGTGGCAGTCACCAAGTTCTAGTTGCAAAGAATGCTCACCTGCGCCTCCAACACAGGCAAGAGGTTTGTGTCCGCTCTTGTCATGGTAGTGGTGATCTCCTGCATGTGCGACCAAGGCGAATTTATTTCCTTCGCCAGAGGCAGTGTCTGCAGCAGCAGGTATGTTGCGCTTTAGACTTGAAAAGACGGCACTCTCCATGTCACGCACCGTAAAGCGAAATGTTTGAAGCTGCACACTTTTGAGTGTTCCGCGCCGAGCCAGATCCCCGAAGTAGCAGCGCCCCTGAAGGCGATGAAGTCCACCTCGTCTCTTCGCCACAGACGAATGGCGCAGATGCCCGCGGGGACCAAACCCGGAATAGGGATGCACAAGTGTGAAGCGTTTCGAGTGGTAATTACATCATTCCACCCTGGCACTAAACCAGAAGCCCCCCATTCAGATGGCAGCTGCATCCCTGAAAGGGATGGAGCATCGGCTATCTGCAAAAAGATGGTGCGACAGGACTCTTTCCAGCGTCTTATTGGACCCTTGGCTTGTGGAGACCTGGGTCTCACAGTACCAGGGTGTCGTTCTTTGGCACTCAATTTGCGTAGAAGGACTGTATTGGATTGTGTTCGTGTGTGTCCGTCTTGTGCGTGATGCCTCGTCGGTCCTCCTCGCTGGCCCTAACTCCTAACTCCTGTAGACTCTAGACACTTCCGAAATCCTGGGACCCTTGGCTTTAAGGCTTCAAGCCTGTAAAAACCCCAACGTCTAAATTCCAGCTATACGGCCATCCGACGCGAAGCGCCAGCCCGAACCCTGAGGAACAGTGGTCCGAGCTTAGCTCCAGCACGCACAGAGTCAGCGCCTCAAGGCTGCTGGACTTTGGGATAGAAGCTGCTTTCAGAGAGCCTTCGAGGTTTCTGCTCCGATGAACCCTGAGCTGAGGGATTGCGAAACCACGCAGAAGTATGAGGGTCCAAGACAGAGCGTTGCGGCTCATGTTGCATATGTGAAGAAGTTGCTTCCTGCTAGTCGGAGTGGCGCTGGCTGACTTCGATGGAACGCTTTGGGCTCAGCCATCCTGGCTTTGGGGCTATGCTTTCTGATTTCTAAAGCGGAGCTTTTGACGGAGTCGGGGTTGCTGGCAAGTTGCTGGTCAGCAAAGTCGCGGACGATCGTTTTGCGAAAGATGCCCACCTCACTCCAATCATCGCAGGCCGCACCCCTGACTCCCTAGTAAATATAGTTGCGATACTGGCGCTATCAGGGTGAATCCCCACCCTGAGACCTCTTACGCACGAAGCTCCAAATTTTCAGCACCGAACACTCGACTCTATCTGAGCTGAGGCATTATGGTTCGGACTTCATGTCGTTTTCCCTTGGCGATGACCTCACGGTCCTTCAAGTCGTGGGCGAAGCGAGCGGTTGGAGTTGACAGGCGGCAAGGAGGCATGTGTACATTACGAGACAGATAGACCGATTGATTGTTTGTTCGATTGATAGGTCGTTAGATACATACGTACATACATATAGCACGCCCACTGAATCCACACTGGGCACTTGTCTCTTGTGTGTGTGCGCATTGCCCATGCAAATATAAGTTGGTGACATGTCCATGTATGCTGTATACTTGCACATGCTGCAAGAGACAGATGTACCGGCGGAAGGAAAGTGCGCAACATATGAAACAAGCGATTGTATTCAATTTTTTGGCATTCCTGGAATCCTGAAGCTGATCTCGCAGACCAAGAGTCATCATACCTGTCGAGGCAGCCCACAAACAGCCACAATGTCTACTACTAAATGCATGCTGGAAGCTTGAAGGACATTGGCAGGTATGCCTGTGAAGGGATGTGCAAACCTCTCCTGCGCCCCCCAAACACCCCCAACCCCCGATCAAGCCAAGCAAAGCCAAAACCACTGTCTATCCATGTATCCATCTGACTATCTATTTATCTATCTATCTATCTATCTATCTGTCTACCTATCTGTCTATCTGTGTATCCAGAGAGTCACATGCGTATCAAAGGTTTATCATGTATCCGAAGCTTGTGCATTGGGGGCCACATGACATCACATCCCCGGCTATGCGAGCGTAAAATATGCTGCATCAAGTCTTGATGCACTTTGCCATGCCTCCCTTTGCTTTCCCATTTGTACTGGATCGCGCGTACCTGAGCTTGCCATGTCTGTGATGGCGGACCCAGGCTATGGCATTCGCCATCGAGACTCCTCCAAAGGCAAACTGGGTGTTGTACAGAACCAGAACTGCCCGGTATGCCAGGATTGGATGTTTGAGAAGACCATCTGCTTCGCAGCACTTGTTTGAAGGATACCGAGTAGTGGATCCTTGCTTGAGAAATGTATATCCGGCGTTCTACGGACTTCATAAACCAGCAATACTTGTTTCACACTTTACCTTATCTTCAAAGTAATCCGAAAGTGTATTCAACCCGATTTTTGTCGGAGCCTCGCACAGTTTCATCCGAACCTTTCAGGCCGCTCAAACCCGATCACTCGAAACCGTGATCCTCAAAAAGTAATGAGCTCGTGCAGCATCTGCGCATGTTAGTACTGCATTCTGAACGCTACAACCAGGAGCCCCCCTCAGCTGAACTGGCACAGGCCTCTTCCCCACGACCTACTGCGCGCTGAAGCGGCTGCAGCAGAATGCTCCAACGGGCGCGGCGTGTGGGCAGCAGCATCTTGCCATGATCGAGGGTCTGGGCTTGGTATGCACGCGCACGCACGCACGCACAGGCACGCACAGACAAAGACACAGACACAGACGCAGACGCAGACGCAGACGCAGCCACACACACACACACACATACACACACACACACACAGACACACACACACACACACACACGCACGCACGCTCTTGCCTTCTGTGTCACTCTCTCTCTCTCTCTCTCCCTCCCTCTCTCTATTAATCATTCATGTGTCACCTTGCGTAATAACCAGACCTCCTGTAATCTCTCAGTTTTCCAAGCTAGTTCAATTTGTCCGAGATGGGTTTTGAATTTATCTATCACGTCCTTCCTGGCAATGGTCAGGGTTGATTTACCAAGTGATCATGCCTTAGCTACCTCCAGCGGAAGGCTTAAAGCCAAGCTTGAACGTTAAGTCTAGGATCCATGCCTTTTCAGGCTATCCGCATATTTTTCGAAGGCCTCAGGCTGGGTTCCCATGATTTGTTTGTGGCTTTTTGCTAGTGTAGAGTTTCGACGTGATACTCCTACCTAGCCGAACCCCCCCCCCCCCTTCCCGGCCAGAACAAGTCGGGTGCCAAACTTGTGTGAAAAACATGGTGCAACATTGTGTGTGTAGGTATGCATGTACTGGTACTGTATATAATGTTCTGCAACGCAATGTACTGTAATGCACTGTACCGCAAGGTAATGTAATGTCATGTAATGTAATGTAGTACAGTTTAGTGTCGAATAGTGTAATGTATGTATGAGTGTTGTGCTGTGCCTTGCCTTTCCCTGTCATGTCATGTTATAGTGATTTGTGTATGTTTGTATCTACATAGGTATGTAGCTACGTATGTAGCTT